CCCCAAAACCCCAAAACCCCAAAACCCCAATCAATAATATTTGAAATAAATGTTCAAATAAAAAGTAAATTAAAATATCAAAATAATCATTTCACGTCACAACTTTGCAGAATCGTTTTGATTTTTGATACTTTCTCCAACTAATTTCATATATTCACTACTGTAGAAGATATTTTAAGTTCCAAAAAGCTCATATTCCTCTGGAGTAAATGCTGTTGTTTTAAATAAATCTCCTAGTGGAACCTATTTCAAATTCACTAAACCTGATTATCCTTCTTTCTTTTCCTCAGCCTCCTTTGACTTCAATAAGATATTGCAAACATTTGTAGCCATTCTTGTGAATTTCAAGTGTCTCAAATCTTTCTATAGAGTTTAAAAAATAAGTTTATTACAAAATCTTTCCATTCAGCCTTAGAAATCTCATCTTTCATTTGAATATCAATTTTTTCATTTTCTGCCTCTAGTAATAAGACAAAATAAATGTCTGATTGGCCAAATTTAAAGTTTTGTACTTCTCTAAATCCTAATATAGACACAAACTTCGCTTAAACACCTGTTTCTTCAAATACTTCTCTTATGCAGGCGGTTTAAAGATTTTCACCCCTTTCTACAAGCCCACCTGGTAGTTTCCACAAATCCTTGATCAATGGCTTTGATTCTTAAATAGCTAAGATCTTTGATTTATCTTTGCTAATGACTAGTCCTCCAACTCCAACATAATGAGTAGAGAAACCTGGAAGTTTATTATCCTCTTAAGGCATCCACTTAGTCATCATAACATAATCATCTTGAGCATGATGAAATTTAAAGCCGCCTTCTTTGAGAGCAAGATCAATCAAATGAGCCTTATTTTCTTTCAATTTAAGCCATACACCCCTTGTACCGTCTTGATTCCATTAGATAATGTTCTCTTTTATTTATTGTTTAAAAATTTCCCTATCATGATTTACACTTTCATCATCAATAGTTAACCCCCTAAATTTGTCCTTTTTGCCTTAAAATAATAAAGATGACTATGCTGTTGTATTTGATGCAAATAGTCTTTTCATTTGGTTGAATTTTAACATCATCATTGTAATCAAATTCATAATAAATAATTAATCATCAAGGCTTTTCTAGTTGTTTGAGCCTTTCATAAATCTTTTCAAGATAAGGCCTTGAATTAATCTCTATGACCTCTTGGGTCTTATAATTCTGCTTATTCCTAAATCTCAAAATCAATCCATTTTCTAGCTTATCAATAGCACTAATATTTTAAGAACTAATATTCCACCAAACTGCTTTTTATCTAGCATCAAGTAGAATTACATGCTCCTCTGAGATAATCAAAAATAAAGTTCTCTCATTTTCTTAGAACTTTAAAGTTTCAATATAGTGATCATTCATAAAAACTCCATCTTTAACTGTAAAAAGGATTCTCATTACAATATAGGAATCCATATCATTATAGGATTTAATCTACTAATTGTAGCCGTACATAGGTCTTGGTAATCTTCTCCTATCTTTAAATATCTTTGCTTCAAATATCTTTAGCGTATTTTTGATTCCCTCTGTAGATTTTGATAAAAGATCTAAACCACCGCTAAAAGGCTTTAAAACCAGTCCAATAGCACCAGATGCCCCTCCAACAAGAGCCCCTTTAAATCCATCTCGTTTTGCTTCTTTATACGGCCTAGTAACTACCCCTGTTACTCCTGAATATATGCTATTTAAAGCAGATTATAATCCATATCCAACCCCTTCAACAATATTTTTGGGTTTTTCAGTTAGTAGTTATTCTTCTCGCTCACTTAGATATTCCTTGTCTAAACTTAGGAGTAAAAGTCCTTTGGATAATTATCCAGAGAAAGATTAAATAAATCCAAAAGTACCCTCAAAAGAATTTTTAATCAAACTACCAGTTCCAAGTATACCACCTTTGATAACATGAAGTGGTCCTCTTTCTTTGTTTTCTAAAGGTAATCTAATGAAATCATTTACACCATTGCCAATGGTAGTAACTAATTTTCTTGGGTTTCCAAGGATTTCAGTAGAACTTATTAAATTAAAGAAATTTCTCTTCAAACCACCTTAGTAATGCTCTAAAATGTTATTGATAAAATCTTCTTGCATTCCAAATTACTATTTCTCATTATATTATTAGATTTAGATAGGTGCTTCATCAATATTAATCAAGGCAAGACCCCACCAATTCATGAAACTTTATAATTAAAGAGTGTCCTCCTTTTCTCCTAATTAGAATGACTTTCTGGCCAAGAAAGAGAGCTCTATATCTAAATTTTGAAGCTAGCAAATATTCAAGTATATTTTCCTTTATTTAGTAGCTATGGTTTTAACTAGCCAACTTTTATAAATTTCTTCGATTTATTCATATTAAGAATCTTTTGGATTCTACTATTTGATGTCCTTAGCTTTGTCCATCAATGTTTTAATTTGTTTTTGTGGAATTGAAACTACTCCATAGAATTTCGGATCATTATAAAATTTCCCTGTACTTTTTCTTTCAATTTATATCTTAAAATCATTATCCCCGAGTCCATATTCATTCTCTATATGATTTATTACTTCTCTATTTTGAAATATAGGATGTGTTCCCGTCAAATTTTTCTTTAAAAGCTCTACTACACCATAGCCAAAACTTAGAGCATATCCTAAGAATGAGTCATCACATTTTATAATCATTCCAGAGAATTTAAAATCAATTTCATCTATATATGTAATTTCTGGATTTTCAGTATTCATATTGACTTCAATCTCTATCATGTTCATTTGATCATTAGTTCTGAATAATCTTGGTTAAAGAATTGTAGGAAATAGGGGCTTTACCATGCTCTAATTGTCAATCTATATTGAGCTAATTACTATTTTATTCTTGTACCATTCTTGAGATTAATATTAATCTATTTACACATCCTAAATTGTTAATATTGCCACCTCTTTTCTGCTCTTATTTTGCTATCCTTTTATTTTTTAGTCTATTGATGTGATAAAAGATACCAAAACCTCTCTAATATTCATTTAGAATGTAGTCTTTAAGATCCTGCTCTGTGCTATGAAACTATGAATGCTTTTCTGAACATCTCTTTCTCTCTCTTCTTTACGCTCTAATGTCAATGGATTATCACTAAATCTAATAATCTTTGTGCACCCATCAGTATATATTGATATATGAACTTTCTTCTTTTAGGCAGTTAATAGATCAGTGTATTCAATATGATGCTTTTAATCAAGCTTTTCAAAATTATAATCTTATTTTTGTTCTTCTCTTAATGATAAAGTTCTTCCTTATTCAAGTGGATCTCTTCCATTAAAGACAAATATACACTAAAATAATAAATTTCATTTCGTAATTACTGATATGAAATGTTCGCCCTAAGGATTTAGAAATGCAAATGGCAATGTAGTTTTAGGTGTAAGTTTAGAACCTTCCTCCTCAAATTTTAATCCTTTTTAGACAAACCAAACTGAAACCTCAGAAGATGTGTTTTCTAATCTGTAGTATGGATATTTTTTATCTTCATCTTCAAATATGATATATGTGGAAGCCTATATTAGTATTATTTCTATGTATCTAAATTATAACTTACCTCTATTTTTTTCTTAACAATTTTAATGATCTTTCTTGCCTTTAAATTATTGAATCTATTCTCTATTTTCTTGATTTCAATAGTAGATAATCCTAATTGATTTAAGCTAAAAGGCTAGGACCATTTCCATTTCTTATATCTATCTTCCTCTGGAATTAAAACTAAACTGCTTTACTCAAAACTATCTCTAAACATATTTTCAATTGTAGCATCTTGCTTTTTTATTACTATTTCTTCAATATGATTGGCATCAGCCCAAACCCATTCTCTTCGTTCTCCTGGTTCTAAGACTTCTTATGAATAATTTTCAGTTCCTGCTTAAGCTATGCAAATAGCTGATTTCATATTATTAACTAGAACATATTTTGGAGAGATTTAAACTATTTTAGTGTAGATATAATCATTGTCAACTACCAGAGATAAATATGTTTCATAGACGAATTCATACTTTTTCTATCTAATTTAAGCTTCAATTTGGGCGGTCAAATGACTATTTTAGAGAGATATAATTGAGAACTAATCTCTAATCCCTGCAGTCTTAATTTTTATGGTATTTGAGTATCTTTCACCTATGCAAGCTAATAGTGAATCTTCCCTATTTGCATAAATAAAGTCTTATCTTTATTCTTATCCTGCAACAACTTATTTGTTAATAGTGTCGTAAAATAGTTTGAATTTATTCAGTGAGTGGTTGATTATTATAGTGCTGGCATAAAATGTCAATGTAAATCCACCTTTCTTAATTGACTGCCTTATACATAATTAAAGATTACTACCTTCATGATCCTTTATTATGATATCTTTGTCAATCTACTCTCCTTGGAACTTACTTTTAAACTAAACCTATGTCCAATTGAAGCCAGGAATTCTGAATTAAATGTTTATTTCATCCCTTTTATCTCCTTAATAGGAAAATATATGAAATTACTTCTCCTCACCTTTCTGAAATTTGAATACCTAGTCATTTTAGTCTCTTGTGGTTACATTTTCCTTATAAACACCCATCATTTCTAAATCCTAAGGTAGAGCGTTTTTAACCACAATAGGAGGTAAAAGAATTATATCAAATGACTCAGCTATTTCTCCTTTTACTTTTTAGACATAAGTATACAATTGATTCTTATGATCGAGCAAAATCCCTTTACCTTCCTCCAATTTTAAAACATTTTCAATTATCATTAATCCACCTTTATAGCTGTTTGAATAACTTGTGTCTTAGGATTATTAATTTTTCAAACTAGTATCACTGTTAAATTTTATCTAAAGCTATATTTCATGCTAAAAGTAAAACTCGTTACTAATAGAATGCTTTTACTCTGACTTTAATAAATATTTTTCTTTTATAATTCCAGTCATTTAGTCTTTAATGATAACCAGATAATCGAATTTTGTGTTATTAAAAATGATATAAGGTGTTCTAATAGTAAGTATTTTCCTTAATTTGTCTAAAGTAACTCCGAAGAATATCTCATCAATATAGTTGATTATCTCAAACTTGCTCCTGCTCTTACTATTAGTTGAATATCTTAGCAATGATTATTTATCTTCAAGAATAACTGAACCATTGCGGGAATCTTCAAAATTTTCTAAAATTTGTCTGTAAGACTAAATTTTATTTAAGTCTAAATCTTTTATTGGATAAAAATTGTCAAAAACTAAGTTTACTAATTACTAATTATTTTTCTTGTTTTTCTTTCCACTATCAATAGTTCCTTATTTGCTAAAGCGATTTTTCCTTTTTCTTGATTAAGTATTAAGTAGATTAGAGGCTTCCTTTTCATAGTCTATTGCGTATTCAACTTCTTGTTATGGCAATACTTCATAAATTTTAGAGTTAGTAGTTCTACTTTCACTGAAAGGATGTAAGACTGAATTAGTTATTCTGTTTGTCTCAAAAAATTCTTACAGATAATCCTGAGAGAATAAGAGTTCGCTTTTTACTACACTTATTTTGTGGTTAGTCAGATTTAATATTGAGAAAGGAGTTACCTTCTCCATGTTTCTATCATCTGCTTTACCTTTCTTTTGCTTTTAAGCTTAAAAATCTTCTTTTATGTCTTCAATTTTTATTGATGCTTAATCTTCACTCAACTCATCTTCTTTATTTATACTAGTTGGGTTAGAATCACTACTGCTTTTGTAATTTTCTTCGTCAATTTGAATTCTTGAACTAAGAAGTCTCTGTCTTTATTAATAATCTTCATATTAATATGGTGGAGTTTCCATCCAAGAATTATAAGTGCTTATCAAGCTAGTCAAACAGTTTTCAGTGATATTAATATTAATTGATTTAGGGAAGTCTATCTGCATAAATTACTGCTATCCAACTAGATTTTGAAGATACTCAACCTCGAAGCTTTCAATAAAAGGTTCCCAATCACCCAAGAATGCATTGAAATAAAGTGCTTTCATCTTGTGAAGATTCATCTCAGTCAGTGAAGATTCGTTTTACTACTCCTATTTCATGAATAAATTAGGGATATCTAGGTCTAAAACTGGACAGAAGGCATTATCGTAGTCGTTAATAAACAGCTAAAATAAGTTAATTTTTTGTAATTATGTATACAATGCTAATTCCATCTGATTTAAACGTGAAAACACTTTTGAATACATTTTCCATTGAATTCTAGTACTCTACCTTTATTCTCTGAGTTTAGCCCTATATAAAATAAAGTTATTTAAAATACATTAACATTGTCATGTGATTTTTCCATGTTGTCGATCTGCAATTGAATATCCTTATTGATTTCTTTGATGTCAATACCTACTCCATTTAATGGAGTTGCATATTTACTTTCAGCGGCCTATTCTTAATCTTTTCCGTGAACACTATAGAATAATTCAGACTTAGCATCTAAGAATTAATCATCATCATCTTCTCCGTTGTCAGTATTCAACCTTGATCTAGACCTAATAGATTTTTTTTCGCTTTAAAGATTATTTGATAAGTGAAGGTAATCATTAGCATTTAACCTGTGTGATAACTACTAAGATAACTCCTTGGTCTGTCTACTTTGATCTTTTTTCTTTGAAACAGTTTGGTTACTGTTGAAAAAAGGTTAGATATTTTATATCTGTTTTTAGTGCAAGTCAAGCTCATTTTCATCTCTAATGTTGCTTCTTGAGAACACTGTAATGTATTACTCTGAGCTTTGCTGCAACTACTTCTTAGCATAGAAAGTTTTTTAGTTGAGTTTAGACTTAAATGTTTGTTTTTAATGAGTATTCTAAGTTGTAGTTGTGTATTTATGAGCTAAGTTTGAAAATGCAAGAGTTGTACTTCTGAGCCTTTAAAATTGCTATGTTATAGTCTACTCATATTACTGCTATATAGCATCGAAGACATCCTTGAACTTATCCTAGTCTTCACTGTCTTCTTTAAACATTTCATTAATACTTCTTCTCTTATCTACTTAATACTCTAAATCTTATACTTTGATACCAAAATCTTTTTTTATTGTTTAACTTCTATCAAACCTTTCTTTAATCATAAAGAGATCTTAACCTTAGGTCTAGTTCTTGATATACAAATCAATTCTCTCTAATTTTTTTAGATATTCTTTGCTCACATTTTCATTAGCAAAGGTGATAATTTGATATAATAGATGCATATCCTGTAATGACAATTTCATCTTGAGTCTTTCCAATTTGATGTCAGATGTACAATTAACTCCAAATATAATGGGATCTTTATCTTTTGAATATTTTCCAGGTTGTTTCATGCCTAACTGATAAGAGGTAATATAGCTAAATTTGAACGGAGTGAAAAGCTGTCTCTTCTTAATTTTTGTGAAATCTTCATTGGCTTAAAGCTAGCTCAGAGAACAAACAAATGGACAGAGGTCACTAACTAGGACGCTCATATTATAAACATATTTGCTTTCAATTTACTCCAGAGTTTCTTCAAAGTCCATTTCATCATCTTTTACATCCTTAGATGCCTTTCTTAGTTCTTTATGTAATAATAACTCCTTCCTTCTTTTGATATTTTCTCTTTTCAATTCGAAGAATATTTTACCTTAGCAGCATATGGTTTTTAATCCTGGTTTATTTTACATGCAAAGTAATGAATCTTAGAGTTCAATAGAAAAATCCATTTTAGGGGCATCTTCAGGATCAAAGTTGTAATAAGATGGTATATCCTTAGAGTCTTCTTCGTATTCAGGGAAGGAATTAATGAAAAAGTAGTAGATTAGTAGCAGAATATGTGGCTTAATTGTAATTTTCAGCCCAGATATATCAACTTTTATATCTTTTTCACCGAATTAATTCGTTATCATGTTTACCAAGATTTATGATGGGGTGGTATTCTTAGCATTAAGTAATATCTATACTGTATTATCCTTAGCTTCCTCGGATGAAAGGATGGGTTAAATAACAAAATACGTCGAATTAAGCTGATAGAATGCTTTTTAAGATTGTTCTTTATTGAATGGGCTTATTTTAAGATTATTCTTTCCCCTAGTTTCAAACTCAGAGATAAAGAAATTATTGATCTTAATAAACATCTTATTTGTAAAATCCATGTACTTTATCATATTCATACTCATTCCAATAATCATCATTTCCGATAAAAATGAACCATCTAAATGTTTGAGTTTAAGAGAAAGAGATTCAAATTTGAGTTTAATTCTCATATTTACTACATTTGAAAGCTATTTGTAATAGTCTTCAATATCTTAATATTTTATGAAGTAGAACTCTTTATCTAACATATCCTGGAAATTCAAATTCAGGTCCATACATCTTAGAATGTTGGTATATACATTTTAAGGCAAAACTAAGTCAATTGGGTCAAAGTTAATAAAGATATGAGATGCTTGCTCAATAATCTAAGGGTCAGCATTTTCCAACTATTTAGATTCAGCTAGAGTCTCAAATATCACTTTGATATTGAATGGATCATTTGTCATCTTATATTTTTCACCGAACTCGAGCACTATCCCATCACAGTTTATTTTGAAACTTTTGACATAAAGTTTTTAATCAGGATTTACACTTATCCTTTTTGCTTTGTGAAGAAGTTACTAACTGACGTTCAATTCATGAATTCCAAATAGGATATAATTTGGACTATCAGGTCTATCTGGTACCTTCAGTTGAAGGTTCTTAATTTAAATATGCATATCCATAATCTCTGTCTCTTAACTAATTTATGTCATTCTCTTAATTGCCTCTCCTTTTATAGTTTTTCCATCTCTAATGAGTTCATACTAGCCTTTATAATCCAAGTAAGGATCAGTCTCAGTAAGAGCAGATAAGAATTATTCAAAGAAGTATTTGTAGAACCTCATTATTGCTTCTTAGAAATACTCAATATAGATTGACGATATGCTCAAATTGATTTTCGAACTTATTCCAAATCTCTTCAACTAACAAAAGTTAGTTTGATATGATTCAAACCCAAAGTGTAGGACTGAATCTGATTCATTAAAATCCTAAATTCTTATAAGTTCTCTCTAAGTTTATTTGAAATTTTGGGGATTTTCACTGAATAGTTTTGGACTCAGAGTATATGGATATCCTGTAAGATCGTAAATAAAGATATCTCTGAAATCAGTTTCAAAGTTAAAATGATCATATTTCTTAATGTATTTTATCTACAATTGGGTGGTATCCATTCTATAAATTTCCATTTGATAGTGATGATGAAGCATACCGACTGATAGATTAATAAACTTAACATTCACATGCATGTAAGTTTCCTTAATCATTTTACAAGATATCAACTCATTCTCAGTTTAATGCTTTATGAAGGTCATAACATTTTCTGCTCCTGTAGAAATGTTTGATTTAATTGATTGTAGAAGATGCTGATTTAGCATAAATTCATCCCTACTCATTTGATTATAGCTAAGATTAGGTTTTGTATTCATTATGAATTTTATAATCTCATTAAATGTTGTTGGCTACATCTTAATGTTTAAGTTTTCCATAACAATATCAATTGATTAGTCAATGTTCTTATATGAGGGGTTATTCTTAGACATGCTGCTTATCTAGACATCCAGAGCATTTTTAATTGAAGAGTGGAATTTATTTTGACTTACTAAACTTGAATTAACCATGACTGTCAAATCAATCAATGATATCTCTTCTACTCTCAATTCTAACCTGGAACTTGTTTTGTAAATTGTGTTAATTATTGCCATGTTTTTGAAGTGTAATAGTATCCAATCTTAAAAGTATTTAATTTCATCAACAAGCAACGTTTTGAATGAAGGGATGCTAAACTCAAACTTGAATGTCTAACTTTGATGATTTATAAGCTTTTTCCTTTTCTGAACTAATCCATTAGTCTTTAAATCTATTTCAATGCCCAAATCGTTTAACTCTTCTTCCTCCTACTTAATCTCATAAATTCTGTTTCTTAATAAGTTAGTCCATTCTTTTTAATGATTGAAATTATTAAATGAGACGCAGCAATCGCCGAATCTATTTTTCATTTAAATATTAAATTCAGGACCTACATCCTTTTAATTTTCTTGAATTTCAGCTCCTCTAAGATAAAAGTATGATATTGGCATTAGTTAATTTTGGTCTTTGTAGAAGTATAAATAGTTTCCAGATAATATGCAATGATATTTTTCCCAAATTTTTGCAGGATCTAATCTTTTCTAAAGTTATCCAGACTTTTTTGCATCATGTAGGACCTGCTTTTTATTTTGAATTTAATCATCTTCATAAGGCTTTTAAATGTCAATATCTTTGCTTAAATCAAAAATTTAATCCAAGTTGACTAACTTGTTGTAGATAGAATGAGTGAGATTGATTTTAACTTCAGAGGAACTGCCTTGTAGATACAATTTAGGCTTAAGATCATGCTCAAGTTTTTATTCCTGAGAAAGCATAAGCATTCCTGCTTTTTTCTGCTTGATATTTATCTTGAATTTCATCCAGCAATCTTCCAAAACTGAGAATACAAGTTCATCCATTTCCTTCATAATAGTCTTATCTCTGAAGTTCCTTAGATTTTCTAAGTTCTTTTGCCATTTCCCAAAACTAGAATAATACTGCATCCTAATGGAGTCTATTAGAATCTCATACTTTTCATATTCAACTATTGAGGTATTCATTTAGCTCTCAGCAGATAGAACTTATAAATCTCCAAGTCTCATTACCCAAACTGGCTTAGTCAATTCTGATGTGGCAGTTAAGGGCAAAATTATAACTGGAGATGCTACATTAATTCTTATTCGATTAGCTTTTTTGTAAATAATTTAGTAAATCTAGTTTGAAGTTGCCTCTCTAATATCCTCAAAAGTGTCTATTGCTACGCTTTAATAGTTTTCATTTATCTTAAGTTAAGATAGTAATGTAGCCCTCTTTACAAATTCCTTGTTGTAAATCAGCACAAATGGATTCTAATAAAAGTGATGAAATTAAGATTAAATTTACAGTTATTAGATTAATGTCATATTCAATATTTGAAAGATCTTCAGGTTTCTTTCTGATTTGAATTCTAAGTTACTCATCAAGGCTTTGAGGGAAAATTTTTCTATTGCTCATAATAACAGAGTCTTCTATCGTCACTTCTCCGTTGTGTTAGTTCTAGCTGAATAGATCAGCCCCAAAATCTGAAATAGATCCTTGCATCTCAAATGAGGTCTCATGATAGGATTGGGACTTGAATGAAACAATCATATCTTTTGAAAAAATATTTATTCCCAAAAGCATATTATCTTCATTGGTCAATCCAATATCAACTGATGTCTCTTTAATCACAAGAGCCACATTTAAATGCATCATCTTAGTAGTTAGATCTAATTACTAATCAGAAATTTCTTTTTCAAGTTCGTCAATCTCCTCATTGTTGAGAATTTCAGGATCATTATCGGCTTTTTTCTAAGAACCAAACAAAAGCCATTAAGTGAAGCTCACTGTTTATTTCTACTTTGCTTCCTCTTGATGCTATTTCTCGAATATTTTTCTGATCCAATCTTTGATAATCGGAAATTCGACAGCATAAAGTATATGCTTCAATAATACTTAATCATCTTTCTTGAGTCTTCTAAATTCATTGCAATTGGTGCTGAATTTAATGAGCAATTCATTGAATTAGTCTTAGTATGTGCAAAGCTACTACTTTGCAATATGGAATTCTTTTATTGATCCATTTTTTGCTCTATTGCTCTTTTTAATGCAAAGATATGCATATCTCCACCAGACTAGAGTAGTTTAATAATTAAAAAATTCTTACGCTTAGCGTTTTGCTTCTCGACTTTGCCACTAATTGGTCTTAGAAATTTAAACTTTTTTGTTTTTAACCTATAATTTTCATACTATTGTAAGCTTACAAGTAATTCTGGAATTTTCTATATTCAGATACTATTTCCATACTTTTTAGCATGCATTTAAGTTGAGGTTTCAAAAATGATAAATTGATCTTGTCTAAATTTATGGAAACATTTGCTCGCTTGATTGGCTTTGTCTGATACTCAAGTTTAATTATAAGATTCACTATTAATAAGTTTAAAGATTGAATATTACTAGGTCTGAGAATATAAGAAAGATGGTCTTGCTGTTTCTCAATTATAGCATCCATTAATTGAATTCTATTTTCTTGAACATCTGTCTATTAGTGAATTATGGTTTAGTCACTTGGATTAAGATAGATTCCAAAGCCCTCAACCTTAAGAAGTTTGTAGAGATTCGTCATTCCCTAGCCGTTTTGAGTTCTATCAACATACCTTTGAGCCCACTAGCTATTAGTAGTCTGGACTTGAAAGCTCTTCATCACCATTCCGAATGTGTACTACTGATCTCCAGAAAAATGATCTTCGAATCTGACATGAAAATTAGTGATTGATATCTGAATGTTATCAACCACTTTTGTTGCTAACTTCTCAAAGTATCCTTAGTTCTCTTCCTAGCTGTACTAGTTCTTAATGTCATTCATTGTATTCACAAGTTTATCCTCCAGATATTTCTGATCAAATATATCAAGTATTTTCCACTCTGATTTTTTCTGAGGAGATACTATTAGATTCAATCCATCCAAAATAACTTCAACTGGATTGCTTCCAATGGTAAGCCAAGGTATTTTTATCTTTGATGATTTTGATTAATCTAAAATTTAATTACCTCTAGATGATTAACCAAACCAACCTCTATCTGAATGGGTAAGTTTAGTTTTATGAGAGCATCAGTTTTCAGCTTCACATTATCTAAGCTCAAGTGTGCTTTAGTCATCTAATAAGTTTAAATCGGAATATTTTACTCCAAATGTAAATTAATTCTAGTCTAGCCCCTCAATGTAAGCTCCTAATTTCTGTTTGATTACTCTTTCCAGATATTTTTCAAACATTCTCAATTTTTATATTTTATTATTATATTTCCTATATTATTAATTTCTAACATATCCAAATTTCATCATCTGGGGTTTTGGGGTTTTGGGG